ATGATGATGATGATGATGATGATGTTGGTCCAGTGGGACAGAGTGTGAATCACATTAATGTACTGTGTACCCCATGACCCAGCACTCTCCCTTATCAGGTTTGATGGGCATAGTTTCTGGTGCACTGTTCAGGTGCCCCAGACCTTTATTTCTGGAGGACTCAAAACATCCATGCAAAAGACACATGTTGCTGGGATGACCTTGGGAGTTCATGGACTCCATGCCATCCATGGGCCTGTCCCAACATGTCATGTGGCAGGACACATGTTGAGCATGGTGTTCACATTGGCAGAGGGAAGATGATCTGAAGGTGGTAAACCTTGAGCCTTCTACCTTGTCATAGTTTGTCATTACAAAGCTTTATACTTTGTACAACTGTGCCCCACTGTGGGGTGGATGGATGTTTTAGAATGGTCTATCTCCAAAATCTGATGGATCCAAATGGTTTCCAGAATGTCCTTGGAGGTTTTCTAGGTGATGTGGCTGGTGCTCCAGTTGAAGTAGAGGTCACCGCTTGTACTCAGAGGAGACCAAGGCAGTGGGCATAATCAAGATACCCTCTCTAGGGTGCAGAGCTTGATCCTCGGCATTGTTTATGGAGGAATTGAGGGTGATGAAGTAAAGATAGAGGAAAGTTCTCTCAGAATGCAATCTGGCTGCAGTTAGGGAGATGTTCGACAAAGACTGCCATTTACTTAAGGCTACAAAAAGAGGCTGTAATACCAAATTGATTAATGTAGCCTCTAACCAACAAGTTATTTCAAGTTGTGCACAGCCTTACAAATGCTGGACAGATGTAGACTGTACTACCAAGTGTAGTATTCTGGCTACTGCAATAACCTCTGTTTCTTTTCATGAAACAGAATTATTGCAGTAATACATACCAGCCAGTAGCTGGAGAATTACTAAGTAACAGCTCCATTGTTGCCCAGATTCTACCTGCTTATTGGTAGCACTTGCTGTAATCTCTTACATCTCATTTTACTCAGAAGGATAGACTTCCCTCTTGGTTTGCTTTTCCTGGGCACTTTCCAGTTAACTACAAAGCTTGCAATGGTTATGATAGTCTTCCCAAAGACCTGAGATGATGGCCGTAGTTGTAGACTTTTTTATACTCACTGTTCAAGTATTTGGACACATCCTCCATGCCTTGATTCAGTGGGTCAAGAAGCCCAGAGAAAAACTGGTCAGAAACAACATCTGCTTGATCACAGGCGCTGCTAGTGCAAATGGAATTGGTCGGCTTTTTGCACTGGAATTTGCCCGACGGGGAGCTATACTTGTCTTGTGGGATGTAGATGCTGAGGGCAATGAAAGCACAGCTCAGGAGGTGCGCAAGCTGGGAGCCAAGGCTTACACTTACACCTGTGATGTGAGCCGGAAAGAAGTGGTCTATGGTGCTGCTGATTGTGTGAGAAGGGAGGTGGGTCATGTCTCCATTTTGGTCAACAATGCTGGCATTGTAAGTGGAAAATCCATCTTACAGTGCCCTGATGAACAGCTGGAAAGAACTATGAGGACCAATTGTCACGCTCACTTTTGGGTAAGTACCACTCTGTGCCACACTCATTGCTGGCTTTATGTTCCCAGTGAACAGAACCTTGAATTTGGAACCTGCAAATCAAATACAGTAGCCAATTTTAGGCATGCAGGGCTGGCTTAATCATAAGCTGTGCTACCACCTGGAATACCAGCATTCTGGCCCTGCTGGAGTTAGTGAGGTAAAATGCTATGAGAGAAAAAGCGGCTGTTTGCACTGTTGAAGGAACTAAGCAGAACCGGCTTAGAAAATATTCAGCTGGAATTAACTCCTTTGGCAGAGAATTTTTGAAATGTACAGATGGAAGGCCATAGGTTGTAGAGTAGGAGTACTGGAATGGGATCTGGGAGATCCACGTTCAAGTCCCCATAGGACTGTGAAGCTCACCAGACAATCATGAACCTGTCACTCTGCCTGGCCTGCCTCACAGGGTTTTTACAGGGAGGAAGAAACCTGTGAATCCTACCTTGGCCTCCTAGCAGAATAGGTGATACCTCAGTGTAAGTAATTAAAAAAAAAAGCTCTGTGAATGATTGTGGTTGGGAAGATAGGGTTGGTACTTGCAACAGATTATGGTGTAACAATGTTATCATTTCCATTTTTATACTCTCTATACTTATTGTGATGCTGTAACATCACTCTTCTATCAAAACATGCAAAACAACAAATAATTATAATACTGATATTTGTTATTGTTTATTCGTTAAATCGTGTTCGATTCTTCATGACCCCATGGACCAGAGCATGCCAGGCCCTCCTGTCTTCTACTGCCTCCTGGAGTTGGGTCAAATTCATGTTGGTAGCTTCAATGACACTGTCCATCCATCTCGTCCTCTGTCATCCCCTTCTGCTCTTGCCTTCACACTTTCCCAGCATCAGGGTCTCTTCCAGGAAGTCTTCTCTTCTCATGAGATGGCCAAAGTATTGAAGCTTCAGCTTCAGGATCTGTCCTTCCAGTGAGCACTCAGGGTTGAAGGTACAAGAAAAATATACACCTGAATAATGCCAAAAATCTATGTATATCTGTTGCTGTTGCTATTGTTATTCAGAAGTAAGTCTTGAATTCAGTTGGATTTATTATTCCCAAGCAGGCACAAAACTGTATTTTCAAATATACTTTTAAAAAGTTAATCTTAAAATAACGTCTTAAAGTCCATTTATGGTAATTTAAAAGAGCAGCAACCACGTGCCATCTTCAGTACCAGCATCATACAGATACTTGTGGGCAAAGGAGGAACTGAGTCTCATGTGCCCACTGATAGATGAGAAGTAAAGAGACCAAGCAAGTTTCCCTTTGAAAGTTGTTCCACTCTTACTATCTTGGTGGAGAGGGTCCTGTAGCTGATTCTTTAGATCAGGATAGCAACTGTGATCTTCCAGATAGCTCTGAGCTGCAGCCGCCATCAGCACCGTTGGTCTTGTTATGTGTCGTCAAGTTGGAATTGACTTATAGTGACCTTAGTGAGGCTTTCAAGATTAGTGGTCTATTTGAGGAGTGGTTTTTAGCAGTTTCTATGGCTCAGCAGGGAATCAAACCCTGGTCTCCAGACTCCTAATCCGTCACTCTGTCTGCTTCACCACACTGGGTACCCCATCAGCACTAGCAGCTAATGAAGGGTTATGGAAGGTGCAGTCTAAAAGTCTAGAAGTTTGCTCTTTGTGCAATTCTAGTTTAGATCCTTGTGTCCTAGGACTTTTGAGAGCTTTAAAACAAAGACCAGCAGCTTCATCCCTAGACTAATTAATATGTGTTCTTGGAACCACTGGACTCAATGGAACACTGTTCCTTTCTTATTACCCAACATCGAATCTTTATTTATTTACATTCCCACCCTACTTTCCATCCAGTTTGCTCAGTGCGATATACTGTACATGGCTCCCTGTGAGGAAGGTCAGGAACACAGGCAAAGTGATTGGCTGAAGGTCACCTTATGAGTTCTCACCCTCTGGAGACTCAGACATAGATTTCCCAAGTTGCCTGGTGAGCTTCATAGCCAAGGGGGACTGAACCCAGACCTTCCATATACTGTACTAACCATTAAGACAAACTGGCCGTAGGGTAATACAACTACATCCAGTTAATTTTAAAGAACTTTCCACAGCAAATCTATTTTAAAGTACCCTTCCCTTGTGTTTTTGGCTCTTTCTTACAACATTTGTTTGAAATAATTAATTGAAGTAACCTTTACAAATGGTTTCTCCTTGCTTTGCCCAGACAGCTTAGCAGAGTTATTCATAAAGCTTGAGTACACTCTGGAGTTGTACAAAATGCTGCATCCTGGAACTGTCCAATTAGGTTCTGCTTCAGATTAATGTTCCTCCTCCAGTGTGAATGGAACCTTTTGCGGCAGCTAATGCTGGAAAGCCGCTTATCAACCAGGTCTTGCAAAACATGGGCTGGCTCTCATTAATCCTACCTTGCGACCCTGAAGAGATGAAAAGACAATCAAATGGAGGGCAATTTTAAGAGCATTAAAATGAGAACTAATCTTGTTACACTCTTTATCCTTGTCATATGTACCATTAAAATTAAACCTTTCCAAGGGAACTTTAAATAGGCATTAGGTTTCTCATGACTGCAGGACCAGAGAGTACACTGGGAAATATATGGATGAAAGCAAGATGGTCTACCTTTTCACTCATGATATTTTAACATCCTTGTGAAGCTGCTGGGAGAGATAATTCAGAGATATGGGTGAGAGGACTGTCAATATGCAGATTGTACCCAGCTCTCTTACTGCCATTGTTAGATGCCAGGGAAGAGAATGGAAGTTCTTACAGCAGAATTTGATTTCAATTTTCTAGAAGTCAAGGAGTCATAGAATGATGGAGTTGGAAGGGGCCTATAAGGCCATCAAATCCAACCCCCTGCTCAGTGCAGGAATCGAAATCAAAGTATATCTGACCAATGGTTCCCCAATGTTCTCTTTTGTCATACAATGTCTCTTCTGTTCTTGGCTCCTCATCTTTGGCAGATATTTTGTACTTCAACTCCCAAAAGCCCCAGCCAATGTGGCCAATGATAAGGGATTTGAGGAGTTGAAGTCCAAACTTTTGGAAGGGCCAAGTACTGAGAACTACCGTTTGACTTAATTGCTACATAATATATCTAAAAAGCGGGGTTGTCACCTTGGGCATTCCTAGGTGTCAGAGGCGGTATGTCAAACTATCATGTCTTGGCACCCGCAATTTGTTATATGCTGTCAAGTCACCATCAACACAGGGTGACCCTCTAATAGAATTAACAGCCTTGCTCAGCAAACTTGAGGCCATGGCTTTCTTTATCAAGTCATTTTTTTTTTCATATTTGGTCTTCCTCTTCTATCGCCTTCAACTTGCAATACGAGTGTAATAATAAAGAACTTTGTAACAAAGAGAGGTGTAATGTAACATTGAGAAGGTGCAAAACTTTGTCCCTCCAGAAATGCATTGCTTGAGCTGTTTTTGCACAATCACCATGCAGACCAAGTCTGTTGTTTACATCAAAACAAAAGGAGGCAAATTTGCAACTTGCTGAGCACTGAGACACCCCAAGGGATAATCAAATGTTCTTTGCTTCTTAGGACAGCTCTGCTTCAAATCACAAAGCCATCATTTTCCCTGTTTCTGCCTTCTGTCCCTGACACTGTATCCAGACCAACCAGTCCCAAGGCATCCTCATATTTATCATGAACACCTGGAGGAAAAGACCCTTTGTGAGAACCATTGAGCTCTGAAAAGTTGATTTGTGGGACGACAGCTCTCAGAATCTCACCGCCACCAGGGCCAAAAAGCAGCGGAGTCAGCTTTGGAAAATTGTCTTTGCTGGTTTTTGTTATAAAATATCGTATTTTGATTTATTTTGCAGACTGTCAAGGCTTTCCTTCCACAAATGATTAAGAGAGGACACGGGCACATTGTGACAATTGCTGGATCACTTGGACTTTTTGCAACAGGTTATCTGGAGGTGAGTAATTCACAGGGCCTAGAAATGTTAAAAAACAAATAGCTACAATTATAGTACCAACATGCTACAGTACAGAGCTGGGAAGCAACAGATTAGAAACAGTCTGCTTTTTAGGGGCGACTTTCAAAGTGAGTAGATTTCTAAATTGCATGTTATGGAATTTTTACAGACATTATGACAGGAGTTTTTCAAGAGTTACGCTATTCAATTACAAAATTCTAAGTCAGTCTGCCTCCTGCAAAAGAGAATGAAAAGTAATTAACAAGTAATGAGTAACACGAATAAACAAGGCACTTTCCAAACACTGATGAGTAATGGAGATGCATTTACTTTTAAAAGTGACTTTTCTAACTGGTTTAGTGAAACACCTAAAAAATAGTTGTTTGTTATTATAGTTACAATGAACAGAATTCTACTGGTGTTCAGCTAAAGTTGGCATAACTTGCCACAATTAACTGTGCCTAATAGATGAAGTGCTGGGTGCATCTTGGTTGCACATTTGGGTGTGTGACTCAGCATGTGACCAAAAAGCACCCAGACACTTTGTCAATTAGCTGCAGCAAGTTTTGCAAACCCTTATGTGAACACTGATAGGATTCAGGCCATAAAGTAACTCTTTAGTTTCCTCTGTCTCACAGGTAACTAAAATAGTTACTTTTTCATACTGTAAAAGAAGTGATACAAAACACACTTCATTTATGGTCATCTTGTCACCTCAAAAGCCACAACAGGACATAAAATAACAGAATAAGCCAGCATTTGAAGTATTGGTATGGTTTCTTGTTATGTTACAGTTATCACATAATGTAATTATAATAGCTTACATATTGGGAAAAGGAACTAATTTCAAGTAATGGTTTATTCCAGTGTGTTAGTTGCATTACTTTCCTATGTAGTATTCTCTTTATAGTGTGTGGATGGGGTTGGAAAATAATTTCACTTGCGTGCCCAAGTTCTGCTGAATTATACAGTTTGTTAAGGTCAGAATCCTATTCACCTATGGGGTCACATAATGGCAATTGTGCAATCATTTCCCTCTGTCTTTCAGGCCATCTTCCATGTGACTGGTTTCACACCCTTTGAGAAATCAGGATTTACACCCAGTTGCATCACGACTCATGAGATGGATGGCCTCCAATAGCCATGCTTATGTGCACAGTTTAGCTCAGCTGGATTTTGCCCAGGAGATCTTTGCAATAAGATAACTAACCTTTCTGAAGCAGTCCTTTTGTTACAAAGGTCTCCATCTATTCACTCCAAATCAATCTAAGGTTTCAGTGGGAGAGACTGCGGTCTATGCCAATGGTTCCCAATTTTGGTAACCCAAGTGTTCTTGGTCTGTAACTCCTAGAAATCCTGACCAGCACAGCTGGTGGTAAAGGCTTCTGGGAGCTACAGTCCAAGAACACCTGAGTTTTCCAAGGTTGGGTCTATGCTCATGACAACCAACCTTGGAATGTTTATCTAGGCTTATACAAAGACGCTTCTAAAAAAACATCATATTGTATTGTTACCAAGAAAGAGAACCCAGGATAAGGCTATGTAGATTAGGATGCATGACTATGTAACTGGAAGATTGAACTTGGTGAGAAAATTAAGGTAACTCTGTTAGCCCCCCTTGACCAGCTTAGCAAGGCTTCTAACAGGTGTTCATCCCAGGCCCTGTGAGGTGCAGAGGTCCTTCTTCATGGAAGCAGGTAAAGGTAAAGGTTCCCCTTGACGTTTTTAGTCCAGTTGTGTCCGACTCTAGGGGGCAGCACTCATCCCGTTTTCAAGCCGTAGAGCCAGTGCTTGTCCGAAGACAGTTTCCGTTGCCACGTGGCCAGCATGACTAGGGAATGCCGTTTTGCGTTCCCACCGAGGCGGTACCTATTTATCTACTCGCATTTGCATGCTTTCACACTGCTAGGTTGGCGAGGAGCTGGGACAAAGCGACGGGAGCAGATCATGAGTCAAATGTTTCCTACATCTCCTGCACAACCACCAGTGTTCTTGTCTTTCTTCCTGAGCGGTGACCTTCAACAGGATGGAATGATTAAAAAGTCACTTGAGCCCTGAAGTCCTACAACTTCTAACCTTATAAGTCCCTTGCAAGTAGCCTTCAAGGGTATATGTAGTAGTATCATTTCTTCCCATATGGATCAGAAGGAAAGAGTCTGTGGACCTGATGATCATTGGCAAGCTTTCTGTCATGTTCTGGATATTTGTTTCAGGGAGGCAACACACCTCCCAAGACATCCTGTGAGGTCTGCAAGGGGCTGCCTCCATCCCCGTCAGTAGAGAGTCTTCTACTACCACCACAAGTCTCCTCCTTCTTTGGCTTAAATTCAGGGAAACATTGCCCTCAGTGAAATTAAACATTTGAAGTTGTTTGTTGAAGGCAGGAACATAATGCTTATTCATGATAAACTGCTTCATGTTTTCTCAGGATTACTGTGCTAGCCAGTTTGCTGTTGTAGGATTCCATGAAGCTCTTAGTCATGAACTGAAAGTCAAGAGGATTGACAGTGTGAAGACCACTCTTGTGTGTCCTTACTTCATTGACACTGGCATGTTTCATGGCTGTGGGATCAGGTAACAACCAACACCTTGCTCTTATGGGTTAGGTCCCACTCTATACAGATCTGCCAGTTTGGTCCTGGACTTAAAGAGCTGTCCCACTAAGTGGAATCCTGTCAGGCTTTTTCAACAAGGGTGCTGCCTCTGTTAGAAGAACAGCACATCCTCAAATTCCGCTCTGCACAAATGTTGGGGCGAGGGCATGGTGACAGCATGTCACCATGTAGACAGCATGAAGTCACGTAAGTAGACTTCAAAATGGCTTTGCCTCTTGAAGAAGACAGAACAAAAAGAGAAGTAAACAGAGAAATGTCCACTCATTTAACTTGAACTGCTTCTGTTGATCACTGATCCTCAGCTGCTTAATGTTTCAAAGGAGAGTGCTATTTCTAGCTATCGTGATATCCTGAACTCACCTTGCACAGAACAGAATCAGGAGCTCCATATTTAGACTTCTTCCTAACAATTCTATTCTGGTTCAGCAGTTCGTACACTTGTGCAATTATTCAGTGTCTAGCTCATCTGTAGAAATTGCTGCAAAGTGTTAAGGTGGAACATTGTGATTGAAGACAGTGGTTCATTAAGATGAAAGAGTGAAATACGGAAAGGTTATGGCATCTTTAATCAATGGTCTATGGCTTTGCCTCTCACTGCAATGAAAGTCACCCCATGGCAGCAAGAAAAATGCCCATATGCAGTTGCTCATTTGATTCCTCTAGGAAATTACCTTACATCAATACATACTATATCTCTCTCTAGCACGGGATGGTCAACATGCACCTCCAAGTATCCCACACACACATTTAAAACAATTTTTTGGAAATATTACAGTATTTGGCTTATAAGTTCCCTTGTGCCCTCTTTGTTTTCAGGGTCCCCCAGCACCAAATATTTTTAATTTTCAAAAATTTGGTCACTCAAGGGCACAGTGGGGCATTTTTAGTTGTAAAATTTTGCAAGGCAAAACGTTTTCATGGGGAGGTGGGTTGTGGTAATGAATGTGGCCATTTAAGGTCTCAGGGATGGGTGTGTGTGGCCTCAAAACCTGTAGTGATTGCCCAGCCTGATCTAACATAATACAGTATTTATTTGATGTAAAAATATATCAGTTTTTACCACTGTGACTGAGTTGGCAAAGGAAAATGCTAGGAAGGGCTGCGTGTATTTGTTTGCTGTGGAAAATTGGCAAAGGAAAATGCTAGGAAGGGCTGCAAAAATAGGGTCTTCTGCGTGTATTTGTTTGCTGTGGAAAGTAAGTTATATACTACTTCATTTCCCCCTCAACACATTATTTTTGATTCTAGACAAGAATTGGAAGGCCTACTTTCTCCTCTAAAGCCAGACCATTTTGTGAAAACAGCAGTGCAAGGAATACTTCGTAATCAGCACATGATTTGTATACCCAGAGTGATATATTTTGTAGCCATTTCAAAAAAGTAAGTTCAGATAGCTGTGTATGTGTGGTTCTTTTTTCCTCCCCTTCCTGTCCTCCAATAAAACCTTTGGCAGGGAGAACCTGCATGAAAAAGGTGAAGATAAACTAGTACATGTATGTAACAGAAATGAAGCCTTTCTTAAAGCAGGTTGATAGGTTGAAATCTACAGTGACTTCTAATAGAAAGGATCCACATTTATCTTTTTAATGAGAATTAACTTTTCAGGTGTACTTTCAACAGACAGACAAGGTAAACCTCTTTGATAGGAGCCCACCTAGGCTTGACTGGCCTCTTGCCATGGTGACCGCCTCCATTGCTAGCTCTGGAACAGCAACAACATGAAGATCCAATAAGCCATTATGAAACAGAGAGGAGTGACATTTTGAGGTGGGATGGAAACAGGGCTGGAGACAGACCATTCATGCTTTAAGCAAAAGGTGTATTGATCAGAGCATGGAAGTTTTATTTTTAATGACAGAACTCAAGAGTTCTGCAGTGATGCAGGCTGGGGAAATCTGTCATTCAAAATTTAACTTTTCCAGGCTTTGTGAATGCCCCTTTTCCTGATGCTACTACTAGGCATGTGCATGGTGAAAACTCTTGTGTTTGATTTGTTTTGGGTTTTTTTTTGGGGGGGGTGGGCTTTTTCATTTTTATGTACTTCCCCTTTTGTTAACAATAATCTCAGACCTTAGAACTGCAGAGCTGGAAAGGATCATCCACGTCCAGCCTGTCAAGGAGGCACAGGGGAAAGTGAGCTCCCAACGTCTGGCTGCACAGCTTGATACTAAACCACTGAACTATCCAGCAGTAAAACACAAAAAAAGCCTGGCTATTTTGGGTTCTTTTGTTCTGTTTTCCCACTTGTTTTCCTTTAGGCATTTGTCCAAAATGGTCCTTAAGATAACTTTTTTTTTACAGTTTTACAAATGCTGGAACAGAAAATCTTTGCAGACTCTTACACAGGCAACAAGCAAGGTAAAAGAGAAAAAGAGAGGAATAAAAGGCAATTCCTCTGCTCCTCCCTAGGCTTCCCAGTTTTTTCACCATGCATATTCCTAGCAGACAGCAGTCTTGCATAGAAAGAGTAACTCTCTTCCTCACTGTGTTCCAACCAATCCAGGCCCCTTTTCAGCTTCAAAATTCCTGCTCCCCCTCCAAACATTCTGATTGGTTGTTGACAGCAGCCCTTGCAATGATACTGGCTGAGGAATTTCCCTGGCAATTTTTATAGACAAGGGGTAAATGAAAAGTTTAACAAAACAGTGCAATTCAAAAGAATATAAGACTGTTATGTATCCCTTTTTGGTTAAATAAATCCTTCATATTTAAGTAGTTCTCTTTTGGGAATCTATGAAATAATCTGAAAGCAAAAGGAAGAACATAATTGCATTTTTCTATCTTTAAATGAAAGTTCCAATCCTAATTATTGTATAAAGTTAAATAATATGGTGCTTTTTTTAAAAAAATGCTCTTCCTCCTTGTTTAGCCTCCTGCCATGGGATGTTCAAGTTCTCATTCAAAACTTCCTAGGACTGGACAAGTGTATTCCACAAAAAGCAACCTATCATCATTCAGCAGCAAGAAGATGCTAATGTTACCTTTTTACAGAACATGTGGAGCAAAACATCTAAAAAAATTCTAGTTCTAACCCAAGAAAAAAGAACAGCTGGATAAAATCCAAGTTGGCAGGATGCGGTACACATATAGGCCTTTTCTGATTTTGCTTGAACGGGTTTGCCTGCGATGCATCTTTGAGAGCCTTGCCGGTCCAAAAGTATGGTGGGAAATTCCTTTCAGCATCTATACATATTACGAGACTTCTAGGAATCTAGAATGGTGATGCTACGTCGTATAGAATAACAATAAAATAATATAGGTGAGAAAAATTACTATCCACATTATATGTTATTCTTATTAGGGAGTGTTATGTTTGATCATTGTATTATACCTGTCATTGCCCAGTTCTTCCCGAAAAGCTGGTTTGCCCATTTTCCTATTGTATACTTCATAAAAGAGGACTGTAGCTTCTTATCACCAAGGAGATAATTGAATTCAGCTGAATTGATGCCAGCACTGCAAGTGGCCTGTTATAATGGATTAGATGTACATATTGTGCACTGTATTTCTTCCACTGATAATGACTGCTTTCCAGATGGCCACTTTAACTGGCGGAGGTGGGGGGATGCTGGCACAACAAGCAGCAATAGGTATTATTTTATCTACCTTCTTCAGAACTGCCACGTAGGAATTATTTTATCTGCCTTCTTCAGAACTGCCTTGTTTTAAATAGTCATAAATAGTCACTGAGTGAAGGAGCAATTCAGAAATCCATTAAACAACAGGAAGGAGGATTCAACATATAGTTGCTAGGCTTGATTTGAGTACTTGAACTGATAGCAGATCCCATCAGCTGATTTCCCCACAAAGCACCCGCCAATGTTCTTCCTGCACCCAACTCTGGACTCTGTCCCATGCAATTCTTCTCTAGAAGTTGTTTCCCAGCCTCTTAATGGATCACTTTTACTTTAGCACAGGCATGTAGCTGCTAAGCTGTTATGTTGCCCATCCTAATACAGAGAATTTTCTGCAGTGAACCATAATCTGATATATTATGTCTTTTTGCTAAAATTAGCACACATGAGTTTTAAAAATCTCTTGTGATATTGCCATTTAAAAATAAAAACATCATATTTTTAGGATTTAATATTTATTGGACACTCACTATTTTACTTACATTCCATGGGGAGAAAAAATTCCAGCGTAAACAATGAACTGAAGCAGTACTTAACTTGCAAGGCTATCGTGCTTTACCTGGACCATATGCAAAAACTTTATTGCACACATCACTGTGTGCAATAAACACAACATCAAAAGCAACACAGTTTATATATAAACATAGGTAATTTTTTTCAGCCCTACATGGAGATGTAATTAAACAGTATAAAGCACTCAAGGAAAATCAATCTGCAGTTTTATATGCACTACATTGAGATCATATCCTGTATTGTAATGAGTTTGTGTGCCTTTATATACAGACACACACACACATTTTTTTAAAAACAAAGATTAGCATCCATTTAAACTTCTGCTGCTTTCAGGTTCCCCACCCTCCTCCCATTCCTCAAAAATATTCTAGAATCGAAGTGATCAAATAAAGTTTAAAATTCTTAAAATGTATAATTATTTATTCAACCGTTTGATCATCAGGCTACGTTTGCCTGACTGACTTGGTAGGCACACAATTTGTTTCCAGTGAAATTTTTACAATTTCAGTAAAAACAAAAAGATTGAACACATACATGGATATGATCTTTCCAAGTTAGTTCATAGGTAAGTGTGTCAGACAACAAAGTTTCTAAACTGTGCTATAATTCTAGGTACAATTAAGAAACTTTTTGAAATGAAAAATTTATAGTGTCATTCAAAACAATGCAATGAAACTAAAAATTTTATCACTGTTTGAAAAGCAACGGTTATGATTTAGACACTACAGTGGGTTCTGACAACTGTAGCGCTCTAAAACAGTTAGGTTACATTAATTAGGAAGCATTTGATTTTCTCTGGTGCTTTCAGGTTTGGGTCCAGTCAAGCCTTTTTAGGCAGTGGTGTCCAGTGTTTGTCCCAAAGTGTTTGAGCTAGCCGGTTTGAGGAGAGGATCACTTTCCATTTCTTGCTTCACACATCTAAAAAAAAAAAAAAAGATTTTTTTCAGAAGAAAGCTATGGATTATTCAGGTTTTTGTGGCTGTTCCAAACTCCTGTTCCTTTGAAAGAGCAAACTCCTGATGTTGTATTTATCAATTTGCTTTTAGTATGCTATCAAGCAATGCAATTAAAGACAGTTCTGGCAAGGGAAGCCTGCTGTGCTAAGGAAACAAAGCAAAGCATTTCCCGAGAATGGGATGATTAGAATGATGTTCTATTTATAGCAACACATTCATAATTTCCGATATATGAATGACAGGAGAGCTGCTTGTAAATCTCTCAAAAAGAGTCCTGGTAATGTGGACTACAAACCTATTTTCCACCAATATCAAGATAGGAAGCCTTGGTTTTTCTAATTCCCTATATAAATACATATGAGCCTAATAACAAACTGTTATTTTGTGAAACAGTCTGAATGTCATGAAGCTAGAGGTGCTTTTATCAATAAGTGGTAAAATATTTCACTCACACAGACATTGGTCCATTTCCTGTTCTTGGCATCTCTGTACTTTGTTGGTCCAACTCAGACAGCAATTTTAAGATGTTTAGTGCAGCCTAAATGAAGAAAAGAGTCTAGTTAAATTCTGCATATAACTTGGGCATATGTTGCTGCATGTTTAATGGGAACAATACTGGACAATGTAAATTGAAAATATTAAAGTGCTTGATAAAATTATAACAAACCCCAAAGTAACAAGAGTCAAATGCAATGCATCTTGGGCTCAGCTAAATCAGATGGCACATCAAGGTCGTATGACAATACTGCTGGGCTGGGACCTCTGAGCAGCGAAATGAAGGCCTAACATGGTAAAATGGATATCCTCCAGGGAGTATCAGAACCCTTCCCACCTGCTCCAAGGTCTCCATCTGGGTGCCAGAAGCCATAGAGATTTTTCCAAATAAGTTTTGGAGATTTCATGAAAGGCAAATGGATCATTTCAAATTAACCTAATCATCCTGACCACATTTATTGTACAGTAATTCAATGCAGACATTTGAATCTCCCATACTTTTCGTGAATAAGTTAGTGTATAAGGAAAATTCTACATGAAACAAGTGCAAAACAGCAGTTTGATTCGTGCTGAGATTTCTAAAATTGCCACTCTGTTACAGTTTTCTTTCTTGTAAGATATAATAGGTTGAAACAGTTGAAAAATGAATATATGGTATCTTTCAAAATTTAAGTATCACCTGGCTCACAAGTCCTATACAACAGTGGTCCCCAACCTTTGGGGGTGGGGTGGGCGCACCCCCGCACTCACAGGTGGGTGTGTCGCACTCATGGAGGGGCGTGTTGCGCTCGCCCACCTGCAAATGCAACACGCCCACTGCACGTGCTGGCGGCAGGTGGAGATCCATGTCTGCAGCCCAGTTCCGGCAAGTCCACGGACCGGCACTGGGCCACGGACCAGGGGTTGGAGACCCCTGCCATACAATGTTATATATTTATATATTGAAGGGTGCTTTTGTCATAATTCACATTGATTCTCTTAACCAACAACAGAACATTTCACAAGCTGCCTTATGTTATTCAATATTTTCCATCAGTGATTAGATTACATGTAGCCTCCCCTGGATCCAAAAAAGGGAAAATCTGGAGATTTTAATACAGACTTTCTGGCTCTTCCATTCTGAATGTATAAAGTGTCATATATTAAGAAGATCTTGTGCCAATAATTAAGACCCCTATTAATTTCTATAAATCAGTTTACGTGATACTTCCAGTTCTCTTACCATATCATGGCAAGATTCAACATCCTTTCCAATTCCATGGCTGATCAGGGGTGGCTGAGAGGAACAATTTATTAGAGACACAAATTCATTCTTGTTGTTTTTGGGGAAATCTTTGTATTCAACCTGAAAGAAAAAGTTTTAATTATTTCCAAACAAGTGTCCCCAATCCACTCATTGTGGAAAGTGTCACAACCCTCTGGCAGGGCAAAAAGAAGCTCAGGTTCCCTCCCCAAAACTCTCATCAGCAATGTAATGTGGAGAAGGTTAACAACATCATTTCCCTTCACAAAGAGGCTTCTCCTATTTCTTGCCTTTCCAAAAGCAGGGTAAAGGGCTGCTTGCCCTTTTGCATATGATGGAAGATTGAGGGAGATTTAGTGACGTATTTGCCGCCGTACAAGGCGACTGGCCGTATAAGACGAACCCCCAACATTTCCACTCAAAATATAGAGTGGATGGCTCTGCTGCAGCGCCGGTGGCGGCTGCCCAGGGCTCTGCCCAGGCCCGCCCTGGAACTTCATGGCTGGCTCAAGCAGCGAGAGGGCGAGGAAGAGGGGAAGAGGCTGGGTCGGTGGTGGGAGGAAGAGGAGGAGGAACAGGGGAAGCGGGCGGGTGGCGGGCGAGCAAATGCCTCCATCCCGACTGCCTGCCAGACTGCCCACCTGCCTTCCTCCCCGGCGGCGCCCCTTCCTGGCCCAAATGAAGTGCACTCGGCGTACAAGACGACCCCCCCCACTTGGAGGCATGTTTTTTGGGCCAAAAAAAGTTATCTTGTACGCCGGCAAATACGGTATGTCTACCAGTTAACACAGGGAAGTCACAAACAACAGTAAAATGGATATTACAATTAACTGTAACATATGTATACAATCTATGTACCTATACGAACCTTCCAGAAGGCTCACATCAAGGTCTGAAATCTTCGCCAGTGTTTTCCTGACTATCACAAATAGGGTGTGTGGATGTATATTATAGGCAGAGCTTTTCTAAAAGCAGCTCTTAAATTGGGATTCCTTCCTGGGTTCCACTGACTCTTGCTTTAAGTGAGTCAAGAGAGGATTAGCACTGTATTTCCTAGAAATTTTAGTTTGCTTGGCATTTGTTGTTGGTGTCATGGGACATCTGTTCACTAGAGCAGCCATTCTAAGCCTTTCTTTCTTTGCCATAAACACACATTATGAAATAAATACAGCTGAATCAGGATTGTATAAATTGCATAACGAACTTTATAAAGTGTTGCTGTGAAGAACTATTTCCAGTCTCTGGCCCTTTTCCAATGTGCCAGCCCTCCACCCCAAAGGCCATATAACTCTAGAACATCAAATAACACACCATACCTTTGATGCTTTAATGTTGTTTTTTTCAAAACATCACTTTAAAAGCTAAATATTTTAATGTAAGCCATCTTGTAATTCCTAGAGGTGCAAACTACCAGGTGTGTGCTGCTTGTTAGAAAGCTCGCCAACAAGTAGAAAAGTAGTGTGTCTGGAAGAAGGATATTTGTTTAACATGTAAAAGACAGCACTACTTCCAAACATGCAAAGCCGAACTTTTTAAAATAGGAGATTCATTCTAAGAGTCAGCCTTCACTTACAGTGCTGCCCAGTTGACTGCATCTTGCTCATGTAGACCAGCATACTTTGGGGAATGGAAAGACAAATAAAACAAATGCCAAGTCTGCCTGTCATATCAACCAAGGAAGAAATTCAAACACATTTCAGCTGCACAATCTTTCTCGGAAATGGGACCTTCTTGAAAGCCATACTAAAATGCTGTACAGCTGAATGATGGGGCTGAAGGTTTATAAATGGCTAAGCACACAATACACCAAAAAGAACAGCACAGGAAGAACCTTCCAGGCTACCTATACTGTAGGCCTATACTTGTTGGTAAGCTTTCTGGCTTAGGGGAGAAGTGGATGTGAATAAACTCGTGCCCTTTTCCAACATGGCTGTGGAGAACAAGTTCTCTATCTAGCAAACCAAAGCCAATAAAGAGAGGCATCCAAATATTCAGTTTTTAATCAGTTTACCTGGATTCCTTGAACACTGGAAAGATAGTCCAACTGTTCAGAAGGTCTAGTGAGAGGTCCATGAGGTACATGGCCTGAGGAACTATTTTTTAAAATGGTCTCAGCAGTAGGAGAAGTGCCGCCATATAACAACTCTCTAGCAATCATGGCCGTCACCGTAGCCTTGGCAGGATTGG